GCGAGCTAAAATACTGTTTGCCCTACAAAATTTTTCCAAGACTCTGCATGTGGGAATTGCATGGAGCCCAAGATTCTGAACAAGTGTGTTTGAGGCCCTACATGAAGCAGTTGATGTTTCATGAAGCTCTCTTCTGTGAAGAAAAGGGCCTCTTACACAGTATCTCTGTTGGAATTCAGGCTAATTATTACCCATCCTGGGAAGTCAGCTTTCACAGAACCCTGAAATCTTACAGAACAAAGCAACATTTTTAAATCTTCTCTAGCTACAGGGAATTTCAGTCAGTTAGAACACTACTTAAAACAAAATTCTGGGCATGTTTCATGCAAATACCTAAGCCATGAACAGGTGTCTGTAGAAGGATTAGTTTAAAAGATAAATTCAATCTTTAAGTTTTAAAAGATAAATTTAAGGATAGTACTCACTTTTCTGAAATTTCTTCCAGAAGTTCCATCAGTTTAGCAGCCAAACCCAGGCGTCGAAATTCTGGTGCAACAGAGAGAGCAGTAACATGTCCATGCCATTCTTCCCTAGCCACAGAGCCTTCTGCTTTACCCATTACTGTGAACACAGACAGCATCAGCACAGCAACATCTTTAGAACAATGCACCACACTCTCTACACCTTTAGCAAAACACCCCCCAGCATATAAATAAACGTTGGAAGGACTGTGGTAAAGGCTCACACAGGGATGTCTATGTTATCACTTGGTGCTTCAGCAACCACTACAAATGTCATTTTGCTCAAGTGTTACAGCTGTTCCTTGATAGCGTAAAAGGAAAAAAAAAAAAAAAAAAAGGAAAAAACTGCCACAAATATTCTGAAAATCCCTGTTTCAGGCATGACTGCCAAATGCAAATTTTAAGGAATTCTTGTGAGTCTTTAACTGAGCAGAATCCAGGATCTAACTAAAATAATGGAGGAATGGAGGGCTGGAAAGCCAAAACTAAGTCACCATCCTGGAAACTGCTGGAGACTTTTGGTGACTGTGGAGGAGCAGAGCCTGGGAAGCTTTGCCAACCTGGTAACAGAAGCCAAGGCCCTGTAAATACAGAATGTTTAAGAAAAAAACCAAGGGGCTATTGGGGTGTTTTGGGTGCTTCTCTGTATTTCCTCTCCTTTCTACACAGAGCCAAATCAATGCTAGTTCACTAATGAATACTCACACTTCTACATGGTACTCTTATAAACATCAGTCACTGCCAATAAGCAACTGATGTGGTAGGTACAGAGAAACCTTCCGTAGAGCAAATGCTTTAAGCTTTACTATGTTAAGTAATTTATTTCCCTTAAAGACCCTTTATTCTGCTCCCCAAGGGAGGTCAGAGGCAGGGGGGAAGGAACAAACAAACCGACGTTTCCATGTGGAATGATTTCTGCAAAATACAAATATTCCACAGCAAATAAGCAGTAGACACCCATTCCCAGAGCTTTCCCTTACAGGACAATGCCAAACCCAAGCTCAGAATTTTTACTTATGATGACTGACAGCATGAGATCAGAGCTGAGCGCAGGGAGTGAGGCTTACAGGCTGAGAAAGTTGGGGCTGTTCAGCCTGGAGAAGAGAATGCTGCGTGGAGACCTCATAGCAGCCTTCCAGTAACTGAAGGGGGCCTAAAGCAACTCTTCATCAGGGACTGGATGATCTTAAGGTCCTTTCCAAACCTAACTATTGTATGACTCTACGATTCTATGATTACAGAAATGCTTGTACCTGTGTAAAACCTGCTACCACAGTCAAGAGCTCTTGCTGGCTAGCAACACCAAATCAAAAACTGGCGCTGTGAGTCCTACCTAATACCCTAAGAAAGGTATGAAACAGGAAGATGCTATGCGACAGTCCTCTTCCCTGTTGGAAAAAGTGAGTAGTAGGAAAAGCTCCTGCGTTATAACCCCCCAACATGCAGCACAGCGAGACGGCAGCGCCGGGACCCCGCACTCACTGTAACCCATTAGCTCGCCGCCAGGCGCCTCGGCGACAATGAAATACTCGGGCCAGTGCGCCAGGTACTGCAGGTAGAACGGGATCCCGTACTGGGCTCTCGGTTAAGGAGCAATCTGCGGCAGCCCGGGCTGCGCCCCGCGCTCCCCCCGGCAGCAGGAAGGATACGGTCTCCGTCAGCGGGTCCAGGTTGCTGCGGGGGAAGAACAGCGGTCACCGCGGCCCGGCCCCGCCAGCCGAGCGGCGCCCCTAGCTCCCGGGGAGCCTGAGGGAAGCCACGGCCGAGTGAGACGGAGCTCGGATCGGCGGGGCCGGGCCGTGGCAGGCCGGTGCTCACATGTTGTTGAAGCAGAAGAGATCATCGCACGTGAAGGCCCGAAGCGTCGTCATACCGATGCCGGTGGTGGTGCTCGGTGGTGCCGCTCGGTAGCGCCGGTGCTGGTGGTGCCGCCACACCTACCCCCACAGCTCCAGACGTCGTCATCGCCGCCCCGGAAGCACTCCCGCCGCCCAAAGGCCCCTTCCGCCACGGAGAGGCGGAAGTGGAGCGATGTACGCCCGCCGGGAGAGCTGCCCCTGGGGGTTCTAGTGAGCAGAGGCGGCGGGGAGCGGCAGTGGAGGGGGGGTCGGGCTGTGGAGGTTGAGGCCGCTTTCGGCGCAGCGCGGAGCGGCGCGGCTGCGAGGCCGAGTCGCCCTCGGAGCCCGGCGCAGCGGCAGGGAGAGCTTGAGCAGCGCCCAGGGGTATCCCCGTGGCGAGCCCCTGGCAGTACGGTTCGGCCGCACAGATCGACACTGCGCGAAACATGGGGGAAAAAGGGGAAAAAAAAAAAAAAAAAGGCAGCCCTTGGCCTGGGATCTTTATGGGCATTGATAACACACGTCTTCTCTAGGAAATGCCAAGGAAGACCACTACAGAAGTACACACCTACTGGATGCCTGTAAGAAGCAATGCCTGTGATACCCAGATGGATGGCAACAAAAAGGACCTGAGAGAACACGGGAGGGACACAGCTATGGTGCTGAGTTGCTGGGGGCACACCTCAGAGTGAATGCATAGTAATATATTTCACTCAAGCCGAATGAACAAGGATACTATTCACTGTGGTCCACTTTGTACAGCCTGTTCCCTACCCCTCTGGCTACTATTCACCTCTCTGAGCTACAGTTCCTACAATATTTGCCACACTTGTGCCTAAATCATACTTTCTCATTAAAGTAACCTCAAGTGGATGGGAAGTGGACTAGAGGGGTTCAAAGGGAGTAAGAGAAAGCCTTGGGACATAACGGGGAATGCAAGAGGGGTTCTGAACTACTGAGTCCTCAAAAGACTACAAAGTCGAGAAAAAATCTGTACATTGTGTATAGCAACTTGCTGTAACACTGCTGGCAGCTACAGCTTCTTGGTGATTTCTTCAATATGTCAGCTGCACTTAAAAAATTCTTCACTTTCCCAAGAACTAAAAAGGGGGGGGGGGGGAAGGTGGTTTCTGTATGTCACATGATAATTAAATTATATTTACATAAAACCCCCTTGCAGGGGACTGAGGACATCTAACAGGAACAGGACAGGTTCAACAGAATCTTGGGGGGAAGAACTCAAGTCTTCATCAGTATACGGGTTCCAGCTGGGATGGAGTTAATTTCCTTCCAAGTATCTGGTGCATTGCTGTGGTTTGGCTTTAGTCTGAGAACAATGCTGATAACACCAATGGTTTAGTTGTTGCTCAGTCACTTCCCCTCACCACAGACTTTTCAGTCTCTCATGCTCTGCAGTGAGGAGAAGCATGAGAAGCCAGGAGGGAGCAGAGACAGAACACCTGATCTGAACTAGCCAAAGGGGTATTCCATGCCACAGCACATCATGCTTGGGATAGAAAGTGGGGGGAGTTCCCCAGAAGGGGCTGATCACTGCTTGGCCCAAGCTGGGTATCAGTGGGTGCTGAACGATTGTATTGGGCATCACTGCTAATTAGTGTTGTTTTTCTCTTTTTTGGTTTTATATTTTGGTCCCTTGTTATTTTCCTTATCGTTAGTAGTAGTATTACAGTGTACTTTAGTTACTAAACTGTTCTTATCTCCACTCGTGGGATTTATATTCTTCTGATTATTCTCCCAATCCCACCCTGGGGGTGATCAGGCGGCTGCTGGTGCTGAGTTACCGGCTGTATTTAAACCACAACAATCAGTCCAAAGGAACAACAGAGTCCAACAGCACATACTTAAAATAATCCCCTGGCAAAATGAGTGATATTTGCAATACCCAGGTTCTGAGTCCTCTCAGAAGCTCTATGACTGCAGACATGAACATAACAGTAGGACATGGGTATATGCCCACCTGGGAAAATGTTGGTGCCTACTCTAAATGTGATCGCTCACTCCAGTGACAATACTAACTAAATCTCCTGTGACTTAGAGGTAAGCCTAGACACTTTGGTATACATAGGCCATCACAGAAGGTTAAACATAGGCAAGACTAAATCCACTCTCAAGTCTTCGTGTTACTGGTCTGCAAGTTCTCCAACTGGCACAGGCACTCTGCTGAACTTTTCCTGAATTCCTCTTAACTTCTGATTCTCTCTCCAGATTCAAAGGACTTTCTGATTGTGACCTTACCTAATGTCTTGTTAGTAAACAAGACAGAGTTTGCTCAGTTTCTATTATGCTACATGCTCTTCCCATCATGTACAAAGACACAGAGTCATTTGTGGCATGCTGATCTAAACTATCAACTTCAGTAGTCACAAAGTCACCTCACTGAGTTGTTTCTTTTGCTTCTTAGGTTTTCTCCCCAAGAATAAAAAGAAAAACCAATAAAAGATGTGTGAAGCAACAATATTAAGAATAACTTCACATAATTTATTCAGTTGTATGAGAGAAGTAAGACAACTACTGTAAAAAATAGTTAATTTCTCAGGTAATTTTTCTGCTTTGGGAAACAGAGTAGCACATTTTATTCAGTTACAGAAGCTGTTCCTAAACTGTTGATTTGTTTGGTAAAGAGCTCTTTGATCACAGAAAGCTGCAAACAGCATTACTGACAGTGCAGCTGGGAACAGATTTGTTGTCAGACTGGTTTTTATTTTGGTTCTGAGATCTTATGAATAAAGCTATTTCTGTAGAGACTACAAAATCCAACCAGATGTTGTATGGACGAACATGCTGGTGTTTCTGATCTAATACAATAACAAGAACAGTGGAAGTTATATTCTTTCGATAGCTCTTTATATTGATAACAGTTTGATGCTCCTCTTTATACACATCAGAAATTCTCCACATTCCATCATCCAGTTCTGACAGTGGTCTTCATAAACTTAGTGTTACTTTTAGTCCATTGCCACTTGGCAATCAGGGACACAGAATAAAGAGGAAATACATGCCTTGAAACTTGGCCTTTAAATTTTAGGAGGTCAAGTCAAGCATTGCCGTGCAAATCCATTTTTTCTGAACCTGTCCTGCATGTATGTGGCTGAGCTTCAATATTTTTACAGGAACAGGCACTCAGATACACAAATACAACAGTATCTTTCTGTTCGCAGTTCCATATGCATGTTTATGGAAACTTTTTTGTTGTAAAAAATGCTGTGTCTCCTTCCTGGTGTATGTACATCCTTCTGGCTATTGGCAGAGTGTTTTCACCCAGCTTGATTTATACACTATGACGACGGTTGTTGATCATGGCCACAATGTGTGACAGGTCCAAACTTTTCATCATAACCTCCATGAACTCGTCATCCTTCCTTGCTCCCTCCACAAATTCTTCCAGAGAAAGTTCACCTGTGTCAGGCACAGACAGAGAAAATTACAATCATGTCAATCCACAAGGAGTATGGTAATCTAACTTTAGAGAGCACTTACTATACATACAGTGTTCTAAAGCACTAAGAGGCCTCAGAGAGTCTTTTTTGAGTTCATATGAAATTTCCCCAATATCCAGGCTATTCCAGCTTCCTTTCCTTCCTTTCCCGACGTCAGGGAAAGGGTACGTAAGAAAGAATAGAGGAAGTGCATAGCTAAAGAGTGGGATCATAGTGGGATCATCCTGTAAATAAGGCTGTATTAGTTGCTTCCTTTTTGGCCTAACCTGTCAAGGTCCTAACCTACCCCATACTTGCTGGTTATCATGTTTAAAAGAAGTGACAGAAGGGAGCTGTGGCAGGCAGAAATAGGTTTTCTGTCCTAGGTCAAAAAGCCCCTATGCAGGGAAGCAGCTTGGCAGAGTTCTTCTGGAATAACAAAAGAGCATGTCAGAAAATAATAAGCACATGAAGCAGCATGTATGTGTCAGGGACAAATAGCAACTACAATGGCCTTGACCAGCTTTTGACTGACTGGATCACAGCACTTCATGTGCTTGCTTGCCTATACCAGACCCAGTGAAGAAACTGTGAACTTCATTAAATTCCAGTTCTTCCTTTCCCTGCTGCTGAAATATTTAGGAGCAGTTTGGGACATCTGTTGATATTTCCCACTTCTACCTCTGACATCAGCTACACAGCAACATACAAAAAGGAAAAAAGAAAAAAACAAACCCAAACCAAGCAAATCTGCTCCAAAACCCCACTACCAAACTCATGTGGACAGAACACAGCTGAGACTTTGTGTGGGGAAAAAAAACTGTCATACTGATTATGTATGATGCAAGGAAAGAATGCTTCACGAAATTCATGGAGAATGCATTCCTGGATGAGAATTCAAATATAAAATGAGGAGGCATAAAATTCAATCAAGAAAGGAAGACATGGATGTCTCTCTCTAGCACAAGAGGCTATCTGTGTTGAATGATGTAGACAAGGCCTTTACCATCTCCATTCACATCAATTTTGTTGAAGACTCGGTTGGTGAATTCTTCTGCACTAGTTTCATGGTCACCACCATTAATAGCTCGAATAGCCTAAAAGAAAAGAGCAAGAATAACAGGAAGCTGCTTAATGGCTCCCAAAAAATGAGAGAGATTCCACTGCAGCCTGCCAGCATTGATTCAGAACAAGGCAGTCATTCCTGGTACCTTCCCCATACAAATGAACCAGCATCATAGGTAAACACAGCAGAAATATTCAGGCCTTACAGTTCGCACTGAAAGGTGCAAAGGGAGCATGGTTCTGAAGCATGGAATGAGCAGGGAAACCCAGAAGATCACCCTAAATCTGCTTAGGTAGCAGTTAAGCACTGCAGAAATGGCAGAATCAGGATCCACCTACTTGATTCACTTTTTATTAACCTATGGTCCACCAAGGCCCATAAACACTGTCAAACACCCTTTACATTTGACATTACGAAATTCCTTTGTTATATGCTGTGATCATTTATTTCTATTCTTGCTTTTCCTATTTCCATTTATATACTGCTTTGTGTATGTCATGTTTCTCCCTGAAGCTCACTGGAAATTAATTTTCAGTAAACAAAGGTTAATCATTATTCATTACTGTTTATTGGAATTCATCTTATTCATAACCATATAGTGAAGGGTTCCCTTTCTACGCCTTTTTTTTTCCTTTGTTTAAGGGTGTCCATGAAATTATGTGATTCCAGAGCCTTCACATTGATTCCAAGACTACTAATTTTCTAGTTTTTACCTTCTGATATGTGGATTCTTCATTCTTTTTCAAATGCTGTTTTACTAAGTCTAAGTATCACCTTAGCAACTTGCTAAGTCTGCCAAAAAAGACACTGAACTCACAAAAGCCAAAGGGCAGTAAATTCATTGCTATTATGGTTTAAGCCCAGCTGGTAACTCAGAACCACGCAGCCACTTGCTCACTCCACACTTTTTTCCCCTCCACTCCCCCACCCCACTTGTGGAGGGATGGGGAGAATAATTGAAAGAAAGTAAGTCCCATGGGTTGAGATAAGAGCAGTCCAGTAACTAAGGTATAACACAAACCACTGCTGCTACCACCAGTAATAACAAGGGCAGAGAATATAAAACTAAAAGGGGAAAAGGAAACAATAACCACAAGTGATCCCAATGCAATTGCTCAGCACCCACCAACCAATACCCAGCCCAACCCCAGCAGCAATCTGGGCCTTGCGGGTGATTCCCCCCAGTTTCTATACCGGGCACGAGGTGCTGTGGTATGGAATACCCCTTTGGCTAGTTTGGGTCAGGTGTCCTGTCTCTGCTTCCTCCCAGCTTTCCATGCCCGTCTTCACTGGCAGAGCATGAGATTGGAAAAGTCCTTGATTGGAGTAAACATTACTTAGCAACAGCTAAAACACTGGTGCATTATCAGCACTGTTCTCAGACTAAAGCCAAAAACAGCTCTGCACCAACTACTAAGAAGGAGAAAAATAACTGTTACTGCTGAACCCAGGACAATCGCCACCAGTTATCACCCACAGGACTTGTTTTTCAAGAGCTCTGTGTTAAACAGTTAATATTTCTTGCTTCACTGTGATGTCTGTGTATTTCTATTGCAAGTTATTGGTAGGAGGCTGTATATTTTCGATTTGATTTGGTCTCTCCATGCCCAGCACTAAAATTCATATCCAGATGAGAATTCATTGCTAACATATTTTTAGTGGTTTTATTTGTGACAACTCAGGCTTCAGATCTTTATCAAATCCATTTTCTGACTTACTTATTCAGAAACATGAATTCTTTATGGTCATTTAGTCTTTCCTGCGTCTTTTCAGTTTTACAGTATCTAGAGATAATTCATTCTGAGATACTCATAAGGTCATCTTTATGCCTGTAATTCCAACACCTTCCACAATAGCTATTTGTATACTTCTTTTTTTGTTGTTGTTTTTTAATTGACAGTCATTCTTCTTCAAACTATTTCCCAGAGTCAGAAATTTTGTATTACATTGGCATTTAGGAGCTGGTTCTAAGAGGCTAACTGGGAGTAACACTCCAACTACAATTTGCACGGGGAAAAGGAGATACGAAGGACACGTTGCAGAGACCACAACTGACAGTCACAGGGTCTGAAATCTTGGAAAGTGCAATTTAGGTCCTAGGCAGCTAAAAAAATGTATGGAGTTCGCTATGCTGGAACATATGCTGTGGTGGACTACAAGATTGTGGGGAATTCTGCTAAAAAAAAAGAATGCTGTTAAAGAAGGTCTCATCCAGGATCATCCATATAGGAAACAGCAAAAGTCTTACATGCGTGGTGAAATTTGTCTTTAAGGAAAGAGAAAAGAACATAGATCCCTGCAGACTCACTTTAATGATGTTGAGCAATTCATGTCGATCAATGCAGCCGTTGCCATCTACATCATACAGCTTGAAATACCACCGCAATTTCTGCTCCATCTTCCCACGGAGAACAAGGCTGAGGGCAGCCACATATTCCATGAAGTCAATATATCCATCCTGTGGGAAAATGGAAACCAAACTGTGACAGGAACAAACTGAGGGACTTGCTGCTCTGATGCTCTTTTAACTTTTCGCTCTCTAGATTCACAGCTAAAAAGAAAAAGAAAACCAAAATTGACCAGGTTGCTCCAAGCCCCGTCTAGCCTGGCCTTGAACACTGCCAGAGATAAGACAGCCACAGGTTCTCTGGGCACCCTGTGCCAGTGCCTCTGCACCCGCACAGGGAAGAGCCTAAGAGCTCATCTCAACCTCCCCTCTGGCAGGTTAAAGCCATTCCCCTTGGCCTGTCCCTACATCCCTTGTCCCAAGTCCCTCTCCAGGTTTCCTGCAGCCCCTTTAGGCACTGGAGCTGCTCTAAGGTCTCCCCTTCAGGAGCCTTCTCTTCTCCAGGCTGACCCAGCCCAGCTCTCTCAGCCTGGCTCCAGAGCAGAGCTGCTCCAGCCCTCGCAGCATCTCCATGGCCTCCTCTGGCCTCGCTCCAACAGCTCCATGTCCCTCTAGCCCTGCTGCCCCAGAGCTGGATCAGGACTGCAGGGGAGGTCTCCCCAGAGCACAGCAGACGGGCAGGATCCCCTCCCTGAGCTGCTGCTCACACTCTGGGGGTGCAGCCCAGCACACGGGGGGGTTCTGGGCTCAAGGGCACACTGAAGCCGGGTCATGGAGAGCTTCTCATGGCCAGTGTGAACAACCCCTCTCTGCCCACCAAAGCTGACTGCCTATGGCCTACTGGGAGAGAAAACTGATCCAGAGTCCTGGCTGCAAGAAAAGTGGAAGGTAATTCTGCCTTAGGTTTTCTGTACTAGTCTGCTTTGTCATCGTGGAAAACTACTGTTATTTCAGTGAGCCATAGATCTTATCTCCATTCTCTGGAAGAAAAGAAGTGACTGAAGATATTTTTTAAAACACATAGAACACGATTTGACAGCTGGAAAAATTGTTTTGTATTTAGGTTTTTAAAATTGATTTCTTGCATTTACAAAGAAACTTAAAAATCTCTTGTTTCCTCTGGAAGAAAAATGCCAGACAGTAAAGGTTCATAATCCCTAGACTTAACACTGACTAAAATTTGAAGTGGTTAAAAAGAAAAAACAACAAAAAAGAAAATGTATTTCTGTCAAAGATTCTGAATAATTACTTCAACAAATTACAGAGCATAAAAATGAAGCTTTCATTTATTGAGGTATTTAAACGAAGTCAGGTGCCTTTCCAGAATCAATATAAATAAATAGCAACTGCAGGTGGGCTAGCAGAGCACTGCTGCTTCACAGCAAGCATCATGACATTTTCAAATACTCATCCAGGATCACTGTAGTATTCCCCTTATGTGAGTTTTTCCCAACTTCATTGAGCAAAGTCAAGGAAAACAAAAACAGCTCCAAAGATGACAAGAAGGGCATGAGTGCAATTTTTAAAATAACTCTATTGAAAATTTGTCCTTTTGGTCCTCAACATCTGAAGGTCCAGGGAGCAGATTATTCCATCCATCAGCATCTGTATTACAACAGAGTGGCTCTTCCTCTGGGTGCTGTTGTTCCTTGCCCTTGTTTATGAAAGGAGATTAGATTAAGTGGCTGTTACAGGCTAAGATTAACTGATGTAGATCCATCTCCACTAGTTGTCACAATCTTACTTCATTGCCCTTGAGATCACTATCACTTTATTTAGAAGATATCTTTTTTATAACCAAATTTGAATTTGAGAGTCTTTTTAAAACATTGCTTACTGCATAACATGGGGCTTACAGGAGAACTTTGGGATGTGTAACATCCTTGAGCAAATTTTGAAGTCCTTAAATATCCCAAGAAATGGCAGAAGTAAAGGGAAAGACTTGTGCAAGACCTCTAAATGCATTGGTTTAGTTTATTAAACTGTTTCTCGTCACTGTCATCATCCAGGGCACAAAGAACTTCAGGATTAGAAAGGATATTCTTTGAGATGTGCAGTGATTTCCAGTCATTACATGCACCACAAGGTCTCAGCTACCCTAATGGAGCCTGCCTGCTCTAAGAATTTTGTAATATTCCTTAGAATTCCTTAACACCTTACGCCTTCTCACATGTTGTCCAAACCAATGCTCTTTGCTCAGTCCCTGGGCTTTCCTTCTTCAAAACTGACCCTGTGATTTCCCAGCTGTTTCATGTGTCCCTGTGACATGCCCCTCCCTGATTCACAGACATTTGCTCCAGCCATTTCAGAATCTTGGAGCAGAGAGCAAAGCTGAATTATCGAGGCTGCCATAAAACCAAATTTCTCTGTTACTGAGGTTACAGGCCTTCAAGCATAGGCTTGAGTATATATGGATAAAAACAGGCAAAAATGAGGGCCATTGCATGCTTAAAGGAATTATGGGGGCTACTGGTTCTTACCTTAAAGACAGCCAGTGGTTGCCTGTCACAGTGAGGAGTACTACCTACCTCCTAGCTCCTGCTACCTGCTATCACAGTATCACAGTATCACAGTATGCTAGAGATTGGAAGGGACCTCGAATGATCATCTAGTCCAATCCCCCTGCTGGAGCAGGAACACCTAGATAATGTTACACAGGAATGTGTCCAGGCGGGTTTTGAATGTCTCCAGGGAAGGAGACTCCACAACCTCCCTGGGCAGCCTGTTCCAGTGTTCCGTCACCCTCACTGAGAAGAAGTTTCTTCTCAAGTTTAAGTGGAACCTCTTGTGCTCCAGTTTGTACCCATTACCCCTTGTCCTATCATTGTTTGCCACTGAGTAGAGCCTGGCTCCATCCTCGTGACACTCCCCCTTTATATATTTATAGACACTTATAAGGTCACCCCTCAGTCTCCTCCAAACTATAGAGACCCAGCTCCCTCAGTCTTTCCTCATAAGGGAGATGCTCCACTCCCTTAATCATCTTTGTTGCCCTGCACTGGACTCTCTCCAGCAGCTCCCTGTCGTTCTTGAACTGAAGGGCCCAGAACTGGACACAATATTCCAGATGGGGTCTCACCAGGGCAGAGTAGAGGGGAAGGAGGACCTCTCTCGACCTACTAACCACCCCCCTTCTAATACACCCCAGGATGCCATTGGCCTTCTTAGCCACAAGGGCACAGTGTTGGCTCATGGTCATCCTGTCGTCCACTAGGACCCCCAGGTCCCTCTCCCCTACACTGCTCTCTAACAGGTCGTTTCCCAACCTATACTGGAACCTGGGGTTGTTCCTGCCCAGATGCAGGACTCTACCCTTCCCCTTGTTATATTTCATCAAGTTATTCCCTGCCCAACTCTCCAGCCTGTCCAGGTCTCGCTGGATGGCAGCACAGCCTTCTGACGTGTCAGCCACTCCTCCCAGCTTAGTGTCATCAGCAAACTTGCTGATAGTACACTCAATTCCCTCATCTAAATCGTTGATGAATATATTAAATAATACTGGTCCCAGTACTGACCCTTGAGGCACTCCACTAGTTACAGGCCTCCAACTAGACTCAGCCCCATAGACTACAACTCTCTGGCTTCTCTCCTTCAGCCAGTTCGCAGTCCACCTCACTACCTGATCATCCAGTCCACACTTCCTCAATTTAGCTGTGAGGATGCTGTGGGAGACTGTGTCAAATGCTTTGCTGAAGTCAAGGTAGACCACATCCACCGCTCTGCCATCATCCATCCACCGTGTTATTTCCTCATAAAAGGCTAAGAGATTGGTCAAACATGATTTCCCCCTGGTGAAGCCATGTTGACTGCCCCTCATAACCCTCTTATCCTTGATATGCCTTAAGATGGCACCAAGGATAAGGTGTTCCATCACTTTCCCAGGGATGGAGGTGAGGCTGACCGGTCTATAGTTACCCAGGTCCTCCTTCTTGCCCTTTTTGAAGACTGGAGTGACATTTGCTTTCCTCCAGTCCTCAGGCACCTCTCCCGTTTCACAAGACTTGTTAAAGATGATGGAGAGTGGTCTAGCAATGACTTCTGCCAGTTCCCTCAGCACCCGCGGGTGCATCCCATCTGGACCCATGGATTTATGGATGTCCAGATTGCTCAACTGGTCTCTAACCCATTCCTCATCGACTAAGGCAAACCGCTCCGTCGACCTGACTTCATCTAAGGTCTCAGGGGTACAGGGCTCTTCAGGACTGCCTGCAGCAGAGTAGAGAGAGACAAAGAAGGCATTCAGTAACTCTGCCATCTCTGTATCTTCTGTCACTAGGGCACCCATCCCGTTCATCAGTGGGCCTACATTGCCTCTGGTGTTAGTTTTGTCTGCCATGTATTTAAAAAAGCTCTTTTTGCTGTCCTTGACCCTTCTCGCCAGGTTTAATTCTAAGGATGCCTTAGTCCTCCTAGCTGTCTTCCTACTTCCTCTAGCAGCAGCCTTATATTCCTCCCAAGTGGCCAGCCCCTCCTTCCATGACCTGTAAACTCTCCTCTTCCACTTGAGCATACCCAGCAATTCCCTATTTAGCCACGCAGGTCTCTTGGCCCTCTTCCTTGACTTCCTACATGTCGGGATGCTCCGATCTTGAGCACGGAAAAAGCAGTCCTTGAATGTCAACCAACTATCTTGGGGTCCTTTACCTTCAAGCAGCCTTGCCCATGGGATTTCCCCTAGCAATTGCTTGAAAAGGCCAAAGTTTGCCCTGCTAAAGTCCAGGGTTGCAATCCTACTTGGTATTCTACTAGTCCTACCACACAAGATCCTGAACTCCACCATCTCGTGGTCGCTGCAACCAAGGCAGCCCTCAACCCTTACTGCTTCAACCAGATCCTCCTTGTTAGTGAGGATGAGATCCAGCAGCGCTCCTCTCCTGGTCGGCTCATCCACCATTTGCAGGAGGAAGTTATCATCCATACACTGGAGGAACCTCCTGGACTGTGGCTGGATTGCCGAGTGGTCCTTCCAGCAAACATCAGGGAAGTTAAAATCCCCCACGACAACCACAGCCTGTGACTGTGAGGCCGCTCTCAGCTGCCTGTAGAAGGCCTCGTCAACTTCCTCACCCTGATCTAGTGGTCTGTAACAGACACCTACAACAGCCTGCCCCTTAATTCTCACCCACAGACTCTCAACTCGCTCGTCATCTGTCCCTGGACAGACCTCGGTGCATTGTAGTTGCTCCCGCACATAAAGAGCAACCCCACCACCCTTCCTGGCTGGCCTGTCTTTTCGGAAAAGGACATAGCCCTCCATGACTATATTCCAGTCATGTCAGCTGTCCCACCACATCTCTGTAATTGCCACCAGATCATAGTCTCCTGACTTAACACAGGTTTCCAACTCCTCCTGCTTATTTCCCATGCTGCGCGCATTGGTGTACAGACATTCCAGGGAGCGAGCTGAGCACACCTCCTAGCATTGAGGGAGCGAACTGAGCACCTCCTAGCACTGAGGAGAGCCCCATTGATCATCTGCCCAGTCTGTCTGCAGTGTGAATTTCAGATGCCAATACCTGGAAATTAATTCCTCTGTGAATGCAATAATGATTTCTATTGGTTTTGATTCCTGAAGTCTCTACTACCTAATACAAATACATTTTCGAGTAATAAGAACATATAAGAATAATAATGAAATCTCCTTTTGTTAGTATTTTGCTAGTCAAATAAGGCCAAGTCAATTAATACACAATTAGGAATTCTCAAAATTCAAGGATGAATTTGCACAAGGTGGTTAGATAATAATGTGCTATTAACTGTGGCAGTTAATCTCCTTGCAGGAGAACTCACCTTATTCATATCAAATGTGCGGAACATCTGCTCAATGTACTCATTGGCCTCTGGATCCAGCCCTCGAAGCCCGAAGAATTGTTTAAATTCATGCTCTGTCAGCTGTCCAGAAGGACACTCCATCATGAACTTTTTGTACCAGTGGTGGATCTCGACAGCCTGTAGATCATCCACTGTGGAGCTGCTGTTGTTCCCCATATGTATGCGTGATCAGAAAAATGGTGCTACAGGAATGATCCTCTTCCTCCTGTTACTCTCACAGCACTGCCTGTCTGCTCCTGTCCACGTTTGACATTAGTGTCAGTTAAGTGGGGGATCTAAATCTAATCTGCTTAGAGGACAGTTTACAAACCTGAAAGTTTCAATGATACTGTCTTCTTAGAATGGAAAGGAGGTGCAAGATAATCTAGCAAATCCCTGCTATTTCAGGAGCCAAATCAGAAAGGGTGAGAAAGTTAATCAGACACTGGCTTCAGGAGCTATACTGGTACACTACTCTATTTTTATCCTTGGTATAACTATACATGAAAGTAAGAGGAAAAATCTACTATATGTGGGATTTGGGGTGAAGTAAAAATCTCCTCCTCTAACTGGATTTGAAAGTCTCTTTTCTCAAATAGAAATGTCGGATAATTTAGTGTATAGGACCAGAAAGTGTTACAGAAGCAGCTCATCATAATGTTAGGCTATGTGTGAAAAAGCTTACCTTCACACACACATAGGGACAATGGCAGGTGGGGAAACCCAAATAATGCCCTGACCTGGCTAATCCCAGAACCACAGAGAAGTGCAATCAACCCATACAAGTCTCATTTGCACAAACATGAATGAGCAAAAAGAGACAATCACAAGCTGGGGAACCCAAATAACCCAGTAGAAGAAATGAAGCCTCTGTCCCAGCTCCTTCTAAGGCTGTCATAGGGGAGCCATCAGCCCTGTGGGCCTGGAGGTGATCCTATCACAATGAATCAATGGGAGAAGCTGTCAGAATGCCTTACAGGCTGAGTGGGGTTACTGCCTAGGAGTATGGGAAACTTTGCTGAGTGCAGGGGAAGAGCATTTGGGGATTGCAGAAGTTATAATGGGAGGTTTATGGGAGGAACCAAAGACAGGGAAAGGGATGGATCTAGGTGGTTTGGGGATGAACAAGCATGGGAAAATGCTTGTGCTGCTCACACTTCGTAAAGTCTTCATGAGCAGATCCTCCTGGAAAAATACACTCAGGCACATGAACAATAAGGAGGTGACTGGTAACAGCCAACATGGCTTCACTAAAGGCAAACTGCCTGACAAATTTGGTGCCTTTCTATGACAGTGTTGGTCATACTGAAGTGAATAGATAAGTGAAGAATGACTGATGACATCTGCCTGCAGCTGTGCAAAGTTTGACACTGTTCCACACTGTTGAGAGATATTAATTATTTAGCAGCTTCTTCCCTGGCACATATGACATCATTTTCTCTAAATTGGAGAGACATGGATTTGATGGATGGACCACTTGGTGGATAAGGAATTGGTTGGATGATCACACTTGGTGGGTTGTGGTCAGTGGCTCAATGTCCACATGGAGACCAGTGATGAGTGGTGTTCCTCAGGGGTCGGCACTGGGACCAACACTGTTCAGCGTCTTTGTCTGTGATGACACCGCGCTGTGTGGTGCAGTTGACACACTGGAGGGAAGGGATGGGATTGACAGGGACCTGGATGGGCCAAAGAGGTGGGACTGTGTGAACCTCATGGAGTTCAGCATGGCCAAGGGCAAAGTCCTGCACATGGGCTGGGGCAATCCCAAGCACAAACACAGGCTGGGGGAGACTGGAATGGAGCAGCCCCAAGAAGGACTGGGGTGTTGGGTGAGGAGAAGCTCCCCATGACCTCGCAATGTGCACTTGAACCCAGAACCCCCCTGTGTGTTGGGCTACATCATAAGAGGTAGCCACGGGTCGATGAAGACCTCAACCCTCTACTCCGCTCTGGTGATACCCCACCTGGAGTGTTGTGTCCAACCTTGTGACCTTCAGTACAAGAAACGTGTGCCTGTTAGAATCATAGAATCCCAGATTGGTTTGGGTTGGGAGGGCCCTTAAAGCTCCTCCAGCTCCAACTCCCTGCCATGGGAAGGGACCCCTTCCACTAGAGCAGCTTGCTCCAAGCCCCTGTGTCCAACCTGGCCTTGAACACTGCCAGGGATGGGGCAGCCACAGCTTCTCTGGGCACCCTGTGCCAGCACCTCAGCACCCTCACAGGGAAGAGCTTCTGCCTAAGAGCTCATCTCAGTCTCCCCTCTGGCAGGTTAAAGCCATTCCCCTTGGCCTGTCCCTACAGGCCCTTGTCCAAAGCCCCTCTCCAGGTGTTTGCAACCCCTTTAAGTATTGGAAGACTGTTGCAATGTCCTTCTGTTATGAGGTTAGAGCAGGTCCAAAGGAGGCAATGGACGGTGGTCAGAGGGCCGGAACACATCTTCTGTGAATAAACACTGAGAGAGTTGGGGCTGTTTAGCCCAGAGAGGGGCTTCAGGGATACCTTCTGCAGCCTTTCGATATATAAATGGGACGCGGGCGAAAGTCTTTTTACCGGGGCCTGTAGTGACTGGAGAAGGGGAACCGGTTTTAAGCTGGCGGGGGGGAGATTTAGCCTGCACATCGCTGGAGCCGTTCAGAACCACGCTGATCAGGCTTTAAGTAATATGACACGGTCCGAGGCCCTGCTGCCCCACCAAGGGCTGGGCTTCACCATCCCTACCGGCCCCTCCCCGCCCGGCCCACACCCGCGCCACCCGACCCCAGTCACTGCTACGCCCCCAGCTGTGACCCAGAGCGCCTTTCTGATTGGTTGTTTCCTTGGTTTTGGGCGTGTCCCAGAAGGCCGCTCGGGATTGGTGACTTTGTGCCATGTTGCAGGATAACCATGGCGCCAAGGCGGCTGCTCCGCCTCAATTAGCTGATGGTTACGTCTATCTCCGTATCTTCGCAGCTGATTGGCTGGCCCGCTGGGAGGCGGAAGCGGCTGAGAGGTGTTCCGGTGTGAGCTGGCTGGGGGCGGAGTTGGGTTAGAGAGGTGGGGGTGTCGTTGCGGCTGGCGGGCCCGTGATGTCGGCAGGTCAGTGGTTCCGCTCTCGGTGTTGTACCTCCGCTGTGCGCGGTTCGCGGGGCGGGCTCCGTCGGCAGGTCAGTGGTTCCGCTCTCGGTGTTGTACCTCCGCTGCGGTTCGCGGGGCGGGCTCCGTCGCCAGGTCAGTGGTTCCCCGCTCGGTGTTGTACCTCCGCTGTGCGCGGTTCGCGGGGTAGGCGCTGTCGCTCGGCTCTCGGCGGTGGTCCCTGACTGGGCCTCTTACGCCGTGCAGCTTTGGGGCTCTCCTGCCGGCGTGCAAGGCCGGAAGGAGCAGGGGGGCTGGTTGGCAGCTTCTTGGGGTCCGGGGCGGTGAGGAGCAGCGGGCGGGCTAGTGTGCTCTCTCGCTCTTGGGCTACGTGGCGCGGCCCGGCCCGGCCCCAGTGCGTCGGTGCCAGCGCTGCGATAGCTCTGTCCTTCGCCGACGGTCCGAGTGTGGTGCCCAGCGGTAACCGGCAGTGGACCCGGGCCTGGAAACGCTTCTGGTTTGTGAGGCCGGCCAGGGATATTGCGCACAACTAAGCTCTCGGTGTATCTGCGGGATTGGTGGGGCATCCAAGTGTTCTTGTAGCCGTATCACCCCTTCCCTTGGTGAAGGGTTGTTGCTGGCTTCTGAGGCCTGTCACCAGGTGACTGCGGTAGTCATGATCTGTTGCTCTGCTTGGATCCGTGTCCCTTTCCGAGCACTTCTGCACAGTTCAAGAGGTTTGATCCAGGGCTGGTGTAAAGCAGCAATGCCTTCAATGCGTGGTTGTCTTAAAAAGAAACGAAATGCAAGGAGTTAGACTTACGTAGAATAAACTTAAAATAAGTTAGGGAAAGCCACTGTCAAGTCTATCTTCCCTATGGCTGAAACCTAGAGGTAGAATACATGGATTTATGCACTGCTTATAGCTCGCATGCAGGTTGTCCTGTGGCTAGTAATGGACTTAGGCTGTTTGGGTTGGTAGGAGAATTATATATCAGAGTAAAGTAGCCTTTTCTAGAGCACCACTGGTAGCCCCAGTGTTCAAAGTAAAGTCTCACAACAAGAATGCCGAGTAAAACACTATTTTAAACTACAGACAGGATACAAGCTGTAAGGGCTCACATAATGAATACAGTGTAGGGCTTTTGTGTTCTGCAATTCATTACAAAAATGGAAATTCATACCAAAGTCAGTATGATCCTGGAAGAGCAATAGTCCTGCCTCTGAGAGCTGTACTGTTTACTTTATTTGGGGGAGGAGGTGGAACACAGAATAACCTTTTGTGTTTGACTACTCCTGTTTATGAGGAAGTCGGCCAGCATTTTATAATGCTTTCCTGCTACGAACTCAGAAGTGAATATGAAGTGCAAGCATCAAGGTATTCCTGCCACAAGTCCTTGATGTTAATACATAAGACAGCTGCCACATCATGTGTGGCTTGTTGGGTTTGGGACAGTATTTAGAGCTACATTGTGCTAGTTCATAGAATCATAGAATGGTTTGGGTTGGAAAGGATCTTAAGATCATCCAGTTCAACCCCCTGCCATGGGCAGGGACGCCTCACACTAGACCATGTCACCCAAAGCTCTGACCAACCTGGCCTTGAAAACTGCCAGGGATACAGCATTTGCCACCACTTTGGACAGCTTGTTCCAGGACCAGGATCTTCTTTTCTCCAACTTTCCATCAAGTGTCAGTGGATGGGGATTCCTGAAGTATGGTCTTGCCACAGAAAGCTGAGGGAAAGGAGACAGTGAGTACCTCAGCCTTTTCTGTGGTCAGGTCCACTGTCACTTTTATGGAATCATAGAATCGTTGAGGTAGCAACAGATCGCCAGGGCTCATCTAGTCCAACCTTGCTGCTCAAGCAGGGTTACCTAGAGCACATTGTTCAGGATTGTGTCCATTTAGCAGTGGGCCTGTGTTTTCCCTGGGGTTCCTGTTGCTGTTTATATAATTGTAGAATCACTTTTAATTCCCCTTCATATCCGTTGTTGTGTTTAGTTCACCTCGAAATGCAGAGGAACTAAGGCCTGTCTGCACCTATTTGCATGTGAAAGGAAACAGGCCATACCATGTGCAAATAGATGCAGACCTTAGTTCCTCTGTTTGCATTTTAAGGAGGCCAGCTGTGAGCCAAGCCATGTAAGTAGGGCGTATTAGCTTGAGTTCGGTATTGGGTTAATGTAGCCAGCCTGGACAGAGACCAGGGAATCTTTACATAGTCCATGTATGCATGCTTGAAATTGTAATGCTTGTAGCATGCAGATATGTGCTGAGCTCCACACATATTTCTGGTTACAGTGGATGCCTGCAGATGCGTAGATTCTACTTCTGTATTTCTAATACCACTTCAATAATTCATCTGTTGGTTCTATCATTCCTAAATCAGGTGATGCTTTTCTTCTTAGCAGTTTTGTCTCTGTAACTGTATTCTGATTCTTTGTTTTGCTTTAGGCTAATGATGCTGAGCCGTTTGTCAGGTTTAGCAAGTACTGTTTTACAAGAGCTGTCAGGCGATGATGGAGATGCAGTTACTGAAGCTGGAGATTCAGTTACTGAATCCTCTGTCTCCGTAAGTATAATGTTATATAAAGACTTTCAGATCTTATTGAGAGATAGGTTGGGGCGTGTGAATTATTTGACTGCAGTGAGAATTGTTTCCTACTTCTTCATTGCTGAGCACTAGACTAAGCTGTCATTCTGCTCTGCTTCTCTTAGATTCCTGACCCCTTAAGTCAGCAATTGACCTTAGCTCTTTTTGAGTGTGACCATCCAACTAATTCCTTATCTACCAAGTGGTCCATCCATCAAATCCATGTCTCTCCAATTTAGAGACAAGGATGTCATTGGGGTAGTGCCAAATGCCTTGCACATCAGTCAGTTTTTCCTTATCTGTAAGTGTCACAACCCCATCATAAAAGCCACCAAATCTGTCATGCTTAGTTGTCTCCTTAATTTCCATATGTCAAGGTAATCCTGGAAAACAAACTGGAATTTGGGTTAAGAAAGATTTTTAATTATTTTTTTTTTAAGAGTACCAGTGACTGTGTGTAGTGTAAAGGGGAGCTCTGGATGAATGCCTGACAGTGGAAGGCTTGACCTGTATGTTGCCCTTTTGGACTTTTGAGGCTTTTTTTTCCTTCCAGAGCACTTATTTCACTGTTTCAGGTACAAGCTGTAGAACCAGAAGCAGGAAGCATGGAGGAGGCACCTGAGGAGCTCTTGGAGCGCCTGGCCCAAACAGAAAAACTGGTTGTTCAGCTAAAGGATTTGATCCGAGAAAAGGATACCCTGCTCCAGCAAAAAGAAACTGTACTAAAGGTATCATTTCCTTCACTGGGGACCTGGGAGCAAGAGTAGAAAATGCTGCTTCAGCTTTCTGTGCAAGCTAGTTTCTGGTTTCTTTTGAACATTTGAGACCTTCACTACTAAATGCATCAATTCCAGAGAATTACTGGAATACAAAGAATGGACCCTAAGCCAAGAGATGAAGGATAGCTTCTGTTTGTATTGGTTAGAGGTAATTCCTCCTAGGAGAGATAAGTTATGTCCAAG